CTGAAACATGGTTAAATATAGATGATTTTGATGACAGAAATTTCTTTGAAATACAGGGTTATAGGGTATTTAATAGAGATAGAGTACTAAAGAGAGGGGGGAGTGACTTTATATGTAAAATGTAAGTTACACCATGTTGAAGTCGAGGATATCAAACTCAAAGATAAAAGTAATGAGATTGAACCATTCGAGTTTCTATCAGTGAATTTAAATGGAAAAGGTTTTTAGTGGGAAATTGTAACAGACCACCAGATTATACTGCTGAAAGTAATGAGAAACTTGACAATGAAATTAAGATTTCAGCTTCAATGTGGTCATAATTATGGGTGGTTTTCATTTCAGGCATATAGATTGAAAAGTGTTAGGAATCAAACCATGAGGGAGAAGGGATTTGGGGAACTGTTCAAGACAGTTTTCTTCCCCAATTGCTCAAGGAACCTATTAGAAACAATATTATTTAAAATTTATTGTTAATTTCTAATATGGAAAGGTTAAGATGGTGGAAATTGGAGAACATATGGGTGAAAGTGATCATTGCTCTATTAGATTCAATGCATTGCAGCAAATCGAGATAAGGAATAATATTTTCGTTACATGTTTAAAAAAAAGTAAATTTTAAAGGGAAAAGTTTTAAATTTTTAAGATAATCACATTCCTTATCGAAAGAGAAGGTTAGCTGCAAGTAAAAAAAAACCAGGGTGGTTCACAAAGGGTATAAGTGTTAAAAGAAAAGAAAAAATCACAAATTTAAGAAATTTCAATTGACTGGTATGATGATTGATTTAGAAGATTATAGAAAATAAAGAAAGTTGGTCAAAGAGTAAATTAGGGTATCAAAAAGGATGTATGAGAAAAGGTTGGATGAAAATGTAAAAATTAACATTAAGGATCTCTTTAAGTAAATTAAGAGTAAACAAAATGTTAGGATGAGGGTAGGACCTTTGAGGGATGATAAAGGAAGGCTAGTATCTGATGATTATGAGATAGCTGGGTTATTAAATTCTAATTTTTCTTCAGTTTTTACTGATGAAGATTTAAGCAGTATTATTCATCTTGAACAGTTAGTAGATGGAAAAAATGTGATAACATTAATTCATATTAAGGAAACATTGGAAAGTTTAAAGAAAGATAAGGCTTCTGAGCCGATAATATTTCCACAAGGGTTTTGAAGGCGGTTGAGGTTGGATGTGTAAGCCACTTGCTACTATTTTTGTAAGTCCTTAAATAGTGGGCAGGTGCCAGAGGATTTAAAGTTGGTTTATGTTACTCTTCTATTCAAGAGAGGTGATGAAAACTGTCCCAATAGTTATAGGCCTATTAGTCTTACATCAGATATGGGAAAAGTTTTCGAAAGTCTGATAAAAAAGATGCTTTGCAAAGTCATTTAACAATGTTTAGATTTTATTGGATAGACAACAT